TTCACTGTACTTATTCATTACATGGTAGTTCTTGTGTGGTCATTGAATTGCTTGTTCAAATCTCCTGAGGGCCTCATACAATTTGTAATGATGTCTTAAGGATTTCTACATGTTAAAATCATAGCCTTACTGAAAATTGGAGAAAGGGCCTAGCTGATTTTGTTTGTTCTGAAAATTGCTAAGCCATGTTAACCTGGTTGGCATTGAATGGAAGACCACCAGGAATGGCCTTCTTTGGGAATTCGGGGTGGGTGGGGATGCACAAAGCAGTGATGGGAAACCACTTCAGCATTGCTGCCAAGAAAACTACAAGATGTGTCCATGAAATCTTCAGGAACTGAGCTTGACTTCTAAGGTAGCATTGTTCATATATTGTGAAACTACAACTATAATTAGCTATAATATCTGTATTATGTGTGAGAGTTTAAGGCTGATTTTACGTTGCCTGCAATTGCACGTAGGCATCTCCGCATACCTACACTTCAAAAGTATTATTGGATAAGTATAGGTTGCAAATGGCTGCAGACTTATCAACATCCCAATTGTATGTTGTTTGGAGATGCATATACCAGCCAATGTTGATTGGTTGATCTGACTTCCGGTCCTGTGCTTTGCTGTTTGAGTGTCCCCTAGCCAGAACATTACATTTGCAAAAATATAAATGGAACATGTGGACCATTAGTGGGTTTCGGCTCCCTTTGCAACCAGTACACTGCAATGGGAGCCAGGCATGCACCATGGGCATGCGTGCTGCGCACGCATGCAAACCCACCACCTGCAATGCTCCAGCTGCTCTGTGGAGTATTGCGCAGGCACCGTATGCTGTGCGTGTGTGTGCAGATGGCCCATTTCCTTCAAATATAGGTAAGGAATGAGGACGGGCGGGCCCTCCAAAGTACCGTTCCAGTACGGTGGCTGCTTCGTCCGGTAGGCACTGGTACGCGCAAACCAGGGCATACCGCCTGCAACCCATTACTGATGTGGACAACCATGCCTTATTAAGAGATGGATACCTTTCCTGATGTGTAGAAGTCTGCTCAACTCTTTCTTATTCTGTTTCATTAAAATAATCGGGGTTGTAGCTTTCTTTAGCATGGAAGGTTGTCTTTTCTCGACTAACTTGAACCTTTCTGCTTTTCTTCAAGTCTTTTCCCTGATCCCATACTTCATCAGAACTGAGATCAGGATCTGATGGCACACAGTGCAGCAACTTTTAGGATGCTAAAAAGTGATTAGTGACTAGAAAAACAGTCTCTTTTTTTCTTCACCACATATAAAGGAATACCTACCTCCCATATACATTTAGCATGGCATCAATATTTCAGAAATACTTCTTCCAAAATATTTTTGAGTGGAGAGTCATCATCACTCCACAGCATTGTCTCTATGGATGACAATGATCAATGACAATCTAACAATCTCAGTTGCCTCTATTAACAGATTTGCTGCTCTATAGCAAAATCCTTTGCCTGTTTCTTGGTGACCCTTTATAGCAATAGAGTAAGGGATTAGCTTCCTTTTTCTGCAAATAACCATTTTGCTATCCATTTAGAAGTGAAATAGCTTTAGCAAACTTGGATGGGAAGATGGCCAGAAGATCTCCATCTCTAAATTAGTAATACGTAGAATATATTTATTACATCCTTACCTATACTGTAAAAATGCCAGTTATCCAAATCCATAGTAAAAAGAACAGCTCCTCAAATTTTAAAGGGATATCAAATTAACATTTGGTAAGAGTAAACTCTTCCAAATAAAAATGTAATTAATTTAAAAATGTAATTAATTTAGAAAGAGAAGGGAGAAAAAGCCAGGATCTATTTACATGTTTGTTTAAGTGACAAGGTTTTGCCTGACAGTTTAAGGTCATCAGCCAAGGACGATAATTGTAAAGTCACATTATTTGTTTGATATTTTTTTAATCCTAATGTTGTTAACATTTTTCTTATAACTAGCATGGTAGTTAATAGGGGATAGTGTCTTAGCATTGCATTGCTCCCCATGAGAAATTTATTTTCATGGTTTGGCACAACTGAGTATACATAAACCATTCTTTTGGTCCTAATCCTAGGCTTGACTGACTTGCATAGTGTTTATAAATTTACGTGTTATGTTAATCAATATTAAACCTAAAAAATTATTAGTCTGTTATTTATGGACATACATTTAACAGATGTCCAGCTTGCTTTTTTAAAGAGGAAAAGAAATTTGTGTGGTTGGTAAACGGTATAAATGAATACCATAACTTTTTTTATTTGTTTGCCAAAAAGGTGGGTAAACTCTGTATTATCCAATCACCTGTGGCTGATTTTTCTCCACCCCCTGAAGGCAAGCAGCTTCAGACAGCCTAACCTTTCGATTTTTTAAAAAGGCAGTTGTCTAAGTAAAAATTTCCTGCAGCCCGCATCTTCCTTACTCTCTCTGCTTGAGAAATACAGAACTTGAGTATTATTGTTAGGTAAGTAAAGGCTGGGCTCAAAATAAATCTATATTGAAACAAAATACTGGAGGTTGCTGGAGGTTCTCTTCTACTCACCCACTGAATGTGGAATGCTGGCCCCTATTAACAAATCTGTTAACAAATGATGTTTTTATATTAATGTAGATTAGAAATGTAACATATAGCATGTTAATATTCTAGTATTTTTGTATTGTAAAAATTCAAAAGAAGCAAAAATTAATGTTTTAATCCTGGAAGTTCTCTAAATCTGCTGCAGTTAAACTTATTCAAAGAAATGATTTAAAAGTTCTGTGAAGTTTTTTTAATGTTACTTTCAATATTTTGTAAAGGAACATTTTAAGTTCACGTTACGGGAGACTGACGTGATGGAGACTGTACTTCCAAGAACATTTACTTGGAAATATGTTTTACTAACCTCTGTGAAACCAACTGGAGATAATTTCTTTTTACAATTACACAATAGATATTTTATAGTATCACTTAGGAAGGTTAATAGATGTATTATAATGTACAAACAAATTTGTAAATATTTTAAAAAGTCAATAGCTTAATAAATGAACTTTGTGAGTAAATTATTCATAACTTAAAATTGGGATTGGTGAGGTTGAAAGGTATGGGAAAGGAGAATGGTTAGAATTCAACTTTTTTTTTTTAAGATACAGATCGATGGATTATGGGAAGGAGAGAGTTGTTTACTAATCATACACATTTTATAGTAACACCCTTGATTCATAGAGCCATAAAACAGTCACATTATCATAACTTCCTTCCCTTGCAAAGAGTTATATGTAGAATTATGAGAGTGTTTGTACAATTAGATTTTACAATTCATATTTCCTTCCTTACTGCAGGATTGTGGGATCATTTGAGATATATAATGAAAGGGTGAGAATAAAGTATTTATTTTGGGTTCTAGAAAATCCTTGCTACAAATACTATTTTTGAGAGCAGGTATCTAAGATTTGGAAATAGAAAGCAACATCATTATTTATTTTACATGTTTGGGAGTTCCATTCTAGTGAGAAAAAAGAAACAGTAGCTAAGCATTTTAAGGGCACTGGACTAGAAGATGGAAATCTGAGTTCTGATCCAGATTTAGGGATGGAAGCCCACTTTGGGCCACTCAGACTGTCTCATCCTCAGGAAAAAGACAGTGGCAAACTACTTTGAAAAATGTTACCTAGAAAACTTTATGGACTAATTGCCAGGAGTCAATAGTGACTCAAAGCTCCCTTCTAATTTTAGCTTGTTGTGATAACTCTGTAGATTATATAATAGCTAAACGCGATAACATGTATTTTTAGTCATACTTAGATGCAAAGTTGCAATAAGCTTTAATAAGGTACAACAGAGAAAGGAATACATAAGCTATACATTTTGTAGTAGAATCATAGTCTTTTCAGGTTATGATTGTGACATAGACTTTATCTCACTTAGCCACCCATTAAATGTAGTCAAATAAAAGAATCACCTGTTCTATAATCATAGAGAAATTGTAGGTAATTTCTCAATCACACTGTGATGAAAAGGAGACTGATGTATGTGTGTCTGTGTGTATCAGAAAACATTTGTGTGCAGCACTGCATTCATCACTTTGATGAAAGGAGCAAGATCATAAAGACTCTCATGAAAACAGGAGTAATAGGGATCGTTTTTCTTTGACCCCCCCCCCATAATGAAAAAAGAGCAGATTATTGTAACTTTATTGAATATGACTAATCAAAATGTTGGTAATAGCTGTAGTGTGGTGCTTTAGCCTGGCCCATTTTGAAAAACCTTGGCATTATGGATTATAAATGTTTCCTCTTTCTGTACTAATTGATAATGTTTTGGTTGATGTATTTTTCTTTGTCAATGACATATCTCCAAATACAATTGCAAATAAAGCAGATCTTATAGCCATTTCCATATTGCTGCTTTTGGGGAGCATCTATAGATGCATACATTGTAGGGGAGACCTGTTTGGATAGGTACAGTTGATTACTGCTTATGAAAAGGTTATGAATTAGAAAAATCACAAAAGGAGAGATTAGACTGAATGCTGATCTATCAGTTGTCTTCTTAAACTTCAACATATTAGTATTATGAAATACAACCAGTGACATTTCATAATCATAATTTATGTACATTTTAAGTGGTCTGAGTAAAGGTAAGCATAAGCCCTTAATTTTGTGCTATTTCTAAGTTATTGCATGTAAACTGTATTTTTTCTTAATTATATGAAACCTTTGATTGAAAGTTTTGGTTTAGCACACTTTGGACACAATGGATAAAATCTGCCTCGATATTAAATTGTTCTGCCTATAGATGTACAGAATAGCGAAACCTTATTCACCATTTCAAACTTGTACAAAATATGTCACATACTTTATGTAAAATCCTGTTTGATTTTAACAGAAATTTTGGTTTTACAGATACCCTTCTCCTCCATTAAGTCTGTTAGAACAAGGTTCACTGCATATAAATGGTTGTGCTATAATGAATTTGAAGATGATATTTTGGATTCTTTGTTTTACAGTCATCTCTCTTTCATTTTTAGGCTTTTTCATCCAACATGACTGGTGGCCCAGCCTTGTCATTTGTTCGGTGCCTGCTGAGGAGAAAAATTGTCACCGGAGACAGTCTTGAAGATTCCAAGCTATGCCGCTGTTTATCAACTGTGGATCTTATTGCTTTAGGAGTGGGAAGCACCCTGGGTGCTGGTGTTTATGTCCTTGCTGGAGAAGTTGCAAAAGCAAATTCTGGACCTAGTATTGTTCTTTCTTTCCTCATAGCTGCCCTAGCTTCTGTTATGGCTGGACTTTGTTATGCAGAATTTGGTGCTCGGGTCCCAAAGACTGGCTCAGCCTATCTATATACATATGTAACTGTTGGTGAAATCTGGGCTTTTATCACTGGCTGGAATCTCATTTTGTCCTACGTTATAGGTATGTCTGAAAGTTGTCAGGTTTATAAGGAAAGTCAACACAGCCTTTTGGCTTTGGATCCTGGCTGCTGTTGACTATTTTGAGTAAGCCTCTGCTGTTTCTCTCTGATGAGAGAGCCAGAGAGAGGAAGAAGCAGAGGCAGAGCTTCTAGACATGCTTTGAAATGCATTTGACCTTTCTCTGTCAGTTGGCAATGGACAGAATGCAGCAACCAGCAATATGAGAGGGGTTTTAACTCACTATGTATTAGGATGATGACATAGAAATGATACGTGAACTAAGTAGAGAATACTTCAATCTCAAATATAGGTCTTGAATTCCAGTAGAAATTCTGGAAACTAAATACATTCAACAGGTTGACTCTCTTAGTACATAGGTTTGCATATAGCACGTAAGTTTGACATATATAATTTTTCAGGCACAGTGTGAATCAACAAATTGTGTGTATGTAGGCTTTAAAGTATAAAAGTAGCAGACTGTAAAATATACCACTGTTCTTTCTAATTATTATTTGAGGCACAGCGTTCATGTATTACATGCCATGCTGAAGATGGAGGTGGGAAGCTTTTACAAAGAGTATGACACAAGTCAGTAAAAATGTGGAGCTTTGCAAACTGCTTGATATATTAAATTTTTCCTTATCTTGATCAGTATCCAATCAAGCATTAATTCATCAATTTTAATTACAGACTGAACGATTATTTAATTCAGTCAGTTATTGAAGCTATTTGTTCTGGAATAGATGTGGATCATTCATTTACATTTTAGAAAAGATTCACCAATTATAGGTAGTGTGGTTAGTTCCTTTTTTCCTCCCCCTCCAAAATAGACAGAGCTTCACTTTTTGACTTTATATATATAGCTGTATGTATGTATGTATGTATGTATGTATGTATGTATGTATGTATATGTATGTATGTATATACATACATACATACATACATACATACATATATAAAGTTTAAAGTAAAGCTAAAATGTTTTTCCATTTAACATTACTCTTTTTTATACTTTAAATAGCACACATTAGTTACCTGATAATTCTTCTGATAAAATAATTCTACTGATAAAAAAGACCCTATCCTGTTTGGATTAATCTTACTTCCCCAATATTTGGTCAATAAATTGCGATCTGTTAGGAAATACCTAGTTATGTAACCCAATGTGAAATACCAGAGAGGTGAAACAATGCTGTAAACTTATTTTCTTTAGAGTGGGTTGTGCTTGTGTGTATATACTAAAGATAAGCAGCCTATTTCAAGTTTAAACTGATTTTTTTATCAGCAGCATTTGTTTTCACTTTCAAAGTCAAAGTTATGCTTTGACTTTAAAAAGTTTGCTTTGATATTCATCTGAATATATTGTATATTATAAAGTAAGATTGCTTTTTAAAAGTTGCAAGCAAGGACTATATTTATGCCCCTATCTACTAGAAAGCAGCTTTTCCTATGAAGTAAATTATTTCCATATACATTGGAGTGAATTGCCTACAGGCTGCATGTAGTCCTCATAGCCCCTGTGCTATTCACAATGAAATTTGATAGTATAATTTGGTCTCAATATTTGACAATGACAGAATTGCAGTGTTCTACTAGAATTCATGATATATCCACATTGTTTCCAGAATTTTGAGTTTTAATTTATTTATTTTCCCCATAACCACTTATGCAACCTTGGCCATATAAAAAATTATATTAAAATATGAATGAACAATTTATTCTTATTGTTTATTTGATATCATTTTAGCAAGATGGTGCAAGCATAAGACTGGAAAGGTTTGTTTTTTTTCAAATTAGTGTGATAACATAATTACAGGATGCCATACAACTTTAAAAGACTGTGAAGGGAGACCTGGAGGGACAAGACTAAGGCAAGTTTCTGAACTGGCAACAGAGAAGATCCCATTTTACAGCTCTTAATATATACACTGTCAAATGGGGGAGCCAATAGCAACGCTTCATTCTCCCGCTCTGGCTGTCAAACCTTCAGCCAATCAGGGGCGAGCAGCATCAGCAAGTTGGCGAAGCCACGGACACAACAGACTGGATGATGCTATGTAAATTGTACAGCACCTTTGTGCTATTTGCTATGGTGATCTGCCAAATATACCATATTTTTGGTTTTTTTATCTCAAAGGTACTTCAAGTGTTGCAAGAGCATGGAGTGGAACCTTTGATGAACTTCTTGGAAAACAAATTGGTTATTTTTTCCGAACCTACTTCAGAATGAATTATTCTGGTTTAGCAGAATATCCAGATTTTTTTGCAGTTTGTCTAATATTACTTTTAGCAGGTACAGTAATTTTAATGGTCATTTTCCTTTGACAATATTCTTTGTTAAATGAAAAATGTGTTTTACAACATGTAATGCTAGATTTACACAAAGTTATAGAGTGTTGTATACGAATATTGTCTGAGTTAGGTATTTGCAGTGAAAACCCTAATCAGTCCTTATTTCAAAGATATAATTACACCTGGATTATTCTTTTGAATTAAAAGTTACGTGGTTAATTTTGCTCTTAGTAGCACTTTTAGAGTAAGAGCTGTTTTAGGCCCTTTATTTGTCAATGACTGTGTTTGGGGTTTCTCCATATAATCACCAGAGGAATAATTGTACGCAGACTCCTCATTTAGCAACCATAATTAGGACTGGCAACTTGGTGTTTAAGCAAAGCGGTCACTAAGTAAAACTACAGTTGTGTTTATGATCTTGCTTCAGTTTTCCTTTGCTTTACAGATGTGCAAAATTCATAATGGAAAGATTGGTCATAAAGTCTTTTTTTCATCATGAATGAAGAAATGAATGATCATTATACAGGACAGTGGTTAAACAAGGTTTATTTGTATTAACTGCAGCTCAAAATTCACTGTTGACTACAGTGTGAATAATGTATTCTCTGCATCTGATGATACTAGTGGCCTACCTTGTTTTCCACAGTTCTTCTGGCTCAGAGGTTAAGTGGTAGTATTACAGGAAGCAGACACTATGCACATATATGCCCAGTAGAGGCTTGCATTGTGCAGTGCATATAGATAGATATGTTATTGTATGTATGGACAAGTATGAGATTTCGCTTATGACTAAAACATCTCTTTTATAGGACTTTTATCATTTGGAGTAAAAGAATCTGCATGGGTAAATAAAGTCTTCACCGCTGTCAACATCTTGGTTCTGCTCTTTGTTATGATTTCTGGCTTTGTGAAAGGCAACATTAATAACTGGAAGAGAACTGAAGAATTTCTAATAAACTACACTGCAGAAATAAGGTAATATGGCTTTTTCTTGTTCTATAGTCCCTTTCATCTTTTCTGTTCTGAGAGCATTTAGTGATGACACTAAACTAAGAATTAGGAACCTCTGTCCATAGCCCAGATGTAGCTCACGTAACCTCCCACCTTATACAGGGTGGAGGCTGTCAAAATGCTATTTTTCATATTTGATGTCTGGTGACGGATAATGCAGGGAACAGGAATTGCACATAAATTAGAAGTTATGGGTCAAGAAGTGGGCTGTGATCCAATCCAATAACATTATTTCTTCTTTGACCAGACTTTCTTTGGAAGGCAGTGGTTTAATTCCTTTTTATTTTCTAATCATCCAGAGATGACATTACTTTTTTGATGATTTTTTAAATTTGTATCATACAGAGTGGGAATTATAAAATAAAAGATAATAGTTCCTAACAAACTATAATAAGCGTGGCTTCCAGCTGACTGTGAGTGAACTTGAAATACCAAGAAGGTGGAGAAATAAGGAAATCTCAGGGCTGAGGGCTAGGTTGGAAAATGTAAAGTCTCAGAAGAAGACAGTGGCAAATCATGTTCATATAATTGCCAAGAGATTACATTGACATGCCTGTGAAGTTACTGGGGTCATCCTTGAGCCAGGGAAGATTTTTTTTAATAATAACAGAACATGGGTTGTTTTGTAGGCATAATTAAATAATTAAAATCATGTTACTTTCCTGTCCCAACTTAAAAATAAAGGCAGAAATTTACATAATCTCAAATTTATTATTAGATATTTAATTCAGAAATTTACCCAAATGAAACTGTGGTTTGGTGCTTTGCTTCTAGTTTAATGGATGGGATGCCTCTCAAAAAATAAGAGGCAGGGAAATGTATTCCCATTTTCCTCACACAGCAAAATTTTGATTGAAGTTACCACCATATTAACCTGGATATGGGAAATACCCAGGACTGCAGACCAGGCAGACAATGTAACCGGGTTCGATCAGTCACTTTAGATCAGTGGTTCTCAACCTTCCCAATGCCATGACTCTTTAATACATTTCCTCATGTTGTGGTGACCCCCAACCATAAAATTGGTGTCTCAGTTCCTAAGACCATCGAAAATATGTGTTTTCCGATGGTCTTAGGCGACCCCTGTGAAAGGGCCGTTCGACCCCCAAAGGGGTCCCGATCCACAGGTTGAGAACCACTGCTTTAGATCTTCTGCCTTTACTTGGGGAAGATACAAGCAGCACTAGTCTCTATTTCTCCTTTTTGTCACCTTATCACTGAAATGGGGAAGAAGCCTGAGGATTATAATACACTCTAAGCTTTGTAATGTAATTTTTTACATATATATGTCTTAAAATCACAGCTGTAATGAAAAATCTGCCACAGATCTGCCATCCCTTTTATGACAGTAATGTGTGGCCATCCATCTTAAGTAGGAAAGGTGTAAACTTTCAGGATTATAGAAAAAAATATTATTTTGGTGAGCACTGATATTTAGGAGGAATTGCTAGCTGCTTTATCAATAAGGTAAAATAAGCAACTGTCAGTAGATAATTTGAGTGACAAAATAAGACTTCTTAAATTGTTCATTACATGTATAAAGCAGCGTAGTTGTAAATAGTATGTCTTCTACTTCATACATTTAATTTTTATCATGAGTCTTTGTCAGTTATATAGCCTTATGAAGTGGAGTTTAAGATCTGTGAAGAAGGCAGGAAACTAATGATATTGCTGGACTAACACCATCAATCTATGTAATGCCACAACTATGGAAAGATAATAACATTCTATATTGCTTTAGGATTGTTTGATAACGGCAATAAGTAACAAATATCTAAAATTGTTCTAAATTGTTAATTGTATATTTAGAAATCTATCATCTTCTGAGAATGTGACAAGTATATTTGGAGTTGGTGGCTTCATGCCATATGGGTTTACCGGGACGCTAGCTGGTGCTGCAACCTGCTTTTATGCTTTCATAGGATTTGATTGCATTGCAACTACTGGTAAGCTTTTAAAATTGTGATGTTTTAATAGAAATTGTTAGATAGATGTCTTATTAATCTCTACAACAGCCTTCGTTTGTGGCTGTCCTGAGAGAGATTGACTGTCCAAAAGTCAGCCAGTGAGTTTAGAGAGTAGAAATGATTTTAATTGTTCTTGTCCTGGTTATACATTCTAGATGTTTCTGATTAGCCTTTTGTCATCTGAATACTGTATCCCAACGTCTTCCTTATTTCATGTTTACTGTAGTTGCATTTATTGTGTCCTCATAGGGGAAGAAGTCAGGAATCCTCAAAGGGCCATTCCTATTGGAATTGTATCATCTCTACTTGTCTGCTTTCTGGCCTATTTTGGAGTTTCAGCTGCTTTGACTCTTATGATGCCTTACTACTTACTTGATGAAAAAAGTCCTCTCCCTGTAGCCTTTGAGTATGTTGGATGGGGCCCAGCGAAATACCTTGTAGCAGTCGGATCTCTGTGTGCTTTATCAACAAGGTAAAATAAGAAAAAATATGCAATTGTCAGTAAACACCGTATTTTTCAGAGTATAAGACGCACCAGTGTATAAGACGCACCAAGATTTTGAAGAGGCAAATTAAAAAAAAAGTCTTTACACTCTGCAGACCTCCCAAAAATGGCCCATTTTTCATGAAAATGGGCTGTTTTTTGTCAAAAATAGGGCATACATTAAGGTGACCAGACATCCTGCTTTTGGCAGGACAGTTCCGCTTTTGAACAATTTGTCCCGCGTCCCGTGGCGTTTTAAAAAAGGCCTGATTTTTTTTTTAAACACAAAAGGAAAAATCTGCAAAAAGTCACGGGGAGTCCCAGGGATTGTTCCTCGCAAAGCATCATGGTCGCAGAGAATGCAAATGAAGGTACTTATCTTCCCACCCAGCTCCATGTGCTCGTATTCAAATCGGAGTCACGCTGAGTCCCATTCAGAGGGCGGAGTGATGCTGTGCTTTTTTTTTTTTTTTTTACTTGTGTTCTCACAACCATGCAAAGGTGGATTTTGTGCTACAAGGATCTTTCTTTCCCTGTCTGCGGTTCCGATTGCAGTTGTCTTTTGCTTCGGATTAAAGCACCGTTTCTCATTCCTTGCAAAACTGGGGAAACGGCAGGGCCACCTCCCTCCCCCCCTTTCCTTGCAGCACCATCGGTTGCAAAATGTTCCCCTGATTTGGTTTATTCCCATTATAATTACCCTTCAATTGTTAATTGCCATCCTTAAGACCACCTGGAAACATCAGAGAGTTGGTACTAGCTATTATGCTGTTTGTCGCTGCTGAGGGGTTGCTGGTGGCGCTGGCTACCACTGGATGCAAGCGGAGCGAAAGCGTGAGTCGTTCACCCTGTGGCTGCCGGCGAACGGTGGGGGAAGGTGGGAGGCTTCCCAATCAGTTTTCCCCCTTCTGCATGTTGGAGCAGCGGGGAGCCTTCTCTAGGCTCCGATGAGTGAAGGTGGTTCTCAGTTAAACCGGCGGCCATTTTAAGAGTTTCATGTGCTTTTGCCCAGCGGCTAGGGACAGGAGCGGCGGGAAGCGGTGGCCATTTTGGGCGCTCCCATTCAGAGTCGCGTGTAGCTGCATGTGAGCAGAGGCATGAGTGGCGAGTTACAGCAGCCAAGGTAGCGGCATCCACTGTCTCTTGCTTGGTAACCGCTACAGTCGGGTGGGCCACCAGAGGACCCCAGCAGCATTGGCAGATTGCCGTCCAGGAGATCGGAGACTTGACTGGGGCGCCAGCAAGTTGCTCCTCCCGCGTCACACCAGTCGGAGGACTGTGGACAGCCTGAGGAAGGGTTCGGTCCTGCAGGCATCCCTATCCTCCACATGATCTGCGCTCGCAGCTGGCTGGCTTGTGCCCAGTCGCGTGACACAGTTTCCCTCATGATCCTCTCATCGGCTAAACCACCCTGCCAGATGGAGGTTCGGAGGTTCATGAGGCGCAGTCAGGGCCCTCAGCCAAGCGTTCTAGGCTGGATCATCCATCCCAGGGGGGTAAAGGAAGCAAGGGCCCTTCAAGTAGGAACCCCACGGGGCCTTCAGAGGGCAATGAAAAAAAGGACAGTGCCAAGTACCGCAAGGCAGGGGGGGTTCCCCTAAGTCATGGGAACCAGATCCATCCCCGGAATGCAGGGAGGCACTTGATCCCACCCCAGGGCAGAGGGTTGAACAGGGGCCTGACTCCCCCCAGGCAAGCAGGTCTCCTTCATCAGCAGGGGTTATCTCTAGAGATTCCTCCCCTGAAGCTTCGTGTGGCTACCCTGATTCACCCAGTTCTTTCCTGAGGGAGGAACTGGCGCCATCTCAGGGCTTTCTCCCCTCAGAGGAGGGCTCCACTTCGGGAAGTTGCAGAAGCCAGAGGGCTTCTAACAGGCCTCATCGCAGAAAGAGTAGGAGGTCGCCCTGTCCGCAGAAATGAAGGAAGTTATATCTCTGGCCATCTCCCAGGGCATTGCAGAGGGCATGAAATATCGTTTTAACAAAGAGGCTCCTTCAAAACCTAAACAGATTTCCAAGCAGACCGCTGAGCAGGCCCTGGCCTCCCCCAGCACTTTGGTGGCTATGGAGGAGTCCGCCTTGGAGGAGGGGGAGATGGAAGACTTCAAGTTATCACAGGACGAAGACCTCCCCCCCGTTAAGCCGGCCTTCACTGGCCTTTTTAAGCTTTCTCTATTTAAGTCCATCCTACATAAGGCGAAGGTGGCCACAAAGTTAGGTTCTACCCCCAAGGGGTTCACCGCTGGGCCCTTGTATACCAGAGACCACACGGAAGGCCTGTTTAAGGAGTCTGCCCCGGCACAGGAATTCATTCCAGTGCCGGATCTCTTCATGGACGTTGTCCAGAGGCAGTGGATTCAAGGAGGTCCTAGGAGGCTGGCCGCACCACACAAACTACCGCCTGTGAGTGGTGACAGAACGGATGGGTGAAGTGAGCGAGGGGGCGGGGCAGGCGCTCTGTGACGAACCTCTTCTAACCGGTTTGGTAGATTTCTGGTACTTCTTCTACCGAAGAGGTTAGAACCAGCAGAAACTCATCCTGAAAGAAACCCAATAATTCTACAGCTTATTGAAACCATTCTTCCTGTTTTAGTTTAAAGTAAATATAGTTTCAGTTGATATCACATAAAAATCTGAATTTGCTTTGGAAGATTATTTCCCCTATAAAAGAGATATCCGTTTTTCTATCTCATTACTAATTCCTGCCATATATACTTTAGGGTACTTTGGAATTTTTCTGAAGCAAGTTTTTGAACTTGGTGGTAGAACTGTATGGTTTTTTTTCCTTATTTCAAATCTTTTGTAGCCTCCTTGCCTGGCAAAACACAACAAATCATTTTTGAGATGTAATTGAAAGACAGAAAATCTGATAGGTTAAAGAGACAATTCTGCAGTGAAATACCAGAAATACACATCTTGGATTAGTTTTTAAATTGGATAAATACAATAACATCTACATTTACCACTATAGTTTCCCCAAATTTTTATTCTGCTTTGAAATGTTTTTAAAAAAACAACGATTTTCCATAACTTTCCCACACCAATACTTTAAATACTCGTATGATATGTGCAAATTTCAATATCAGCATTTTGGTTAAAATAAGCAATATTGCATTGGCTTCTTAATGTTTATATATGCCTGTTTGCTAACAATGCTTAGGCTATTAGCCAATATATTTTAAATTGGCATATGATGTCAATAGGTATAAGCAATTTCTTCAGCATGCTAATATTAATTAAGTGACTCATTATAATGTAGACATGATATTCCTAATATATGAGCCATAATTGAAAAATTACAATCATGTATAGATGTTATGATATAGTCTCCATTTCTGTTGCTTAGATTTTTCTAACCATAGTGTTTCATTTATTTATTAATATTAAGCGATATTATCCTTATAACCAGATTTTAATTGCAATGACCTTGTAAATTCTGATTACTTGACACAAATATTGTAGAATTCCATTGTATACCTTGGGAATGAGAGAATGGAAACATGCAAGTTTGTGTCATAATAGTCTTAATCATAGCTATTTTAAAATTCTTTTATTATTTATATTTCACAAACCACAGTAATTTTGTTGCTTTATTCCATTATATTGTATATATAGTACATAGACTTTTAAGATAATGTAGATGTTTGTATAGTCGCAGAATAAGACCTATAACTCTTTTCTTAATTATGCACTATTATCATATAAGCCATAATAAGGAGAAATATACATTAAGTGGAAATGCATAAAGTTTGCTATTGGTAGAATTAATCTTTATTTAAGGTAATGTAGTAGATAATGCTATTTAAAAAGAATGGCAAATTATTTATATATAATTTGTTATTCATATATGATAAGGACTTAATTATTGCAGGGATATTTGTTGCTTGTTTTTAATTCTGCTGCCTGATGCAATTGTTCAAAATGTGGTGATGCTTAATTATATTATGCCAAGATATATCTTATGAGTACATTGCTCTGGAAAAACTACAGTGAAGATACAAGCTACCTGAGTAATTAAAATAAAGTTTTCATTTTAAGGATAAATTGGAAAGGTGGGTCTGTTGAAAATGAAAGTTGTTTAAAGCCGAATCTTTGTAATGTAAATTATCTAAATTTGATTTGTTTGACAGATCACTGTAAATTCTTATTTTGTCCATGCATCTCTGCTAAATTGGATCCATGAAATTAAAGTTTTATATAGTTATCAGTGTTTTATTACAAACATTATAGTTGTGGAACCAGTTGTAATTCCTAAACATTATAGATATTATTCAACTTCAGAGAGTTATATCAAGATTTTTCTTCCCAATTTAAAAATATACCTGTGGGAAACATCTCATGTATCATACAGCATCTTTACAATAATTAATTAGGCTAATCTTATTTTTTTGTCCTTTTTAAAGCTGTTTATGTTATCGCAAGTCTGGTTGATATTACTTACTTTGTGTAGATTGGGGAGACAATAATTTGGGCTTGGTGATTGGTGCTGTTAGCTGGGGTCTTTGGTGATCTCTGGCCTTGGTGGTTTTCCTGCAGAAGTTTCATTACCAAACTAGGTAATATCATCAGGGCACTATAAGGAAACCAAGCTCAGAGAGCACCAAGGACCCCACAAATTAACTCTTAGCTATAAATGCAGGTAGTCCTCAACTAGCAGCAGCTCAATTAGTGACCATTCAAAGTTACAACAACACTGAAAATAGTGACATGACCATTTTTCATAGTTGCAATCATTGAAGCATCCCATGGTCACATGATCAAAGTTCAGCCACTTGGTGACTGCTTCATATTTATGACAGTTGCAGTGTCCCAGGATCATATGATTGCCTTTTATAACCTTCTGACAAGCAAAATCAGTGGGGAAGCCAGATTCATTTAATCAGTGTGTTACAAACTTAACAACTGTGGTGATTTGCTTAAGAATTGTGGCAAGAAATATTGTAAAATGCGGCAAAACTTGCTTAACAGATGTCTCATTTAGCAATAGAAAATTTGGTCTCAATTGTAGTCGTAAGTCGAGGACTACTGCATTCTCTTCTATCAGTACTGTTAGGTGGGTATTTATTTTGAGACAAACTTTATTTCTAGGCTAGAATTATATAAGGCACAATATACTGTAGTAGATATTATGTATACTACAACAGCAGTAATAACTTACTTGATTTAGGCATCACCTGATTCCAGAATCAAACAAAATTGAAATACAATATAAATAAGGAAAAAAAGGCTAAATAAAATCAAGTATGAATGTATAATATTTTGATGGTGTTTGTTGTTACTCCAGAAATTGAGGACAATGATTATGCTCTATATGATATAATCTGTATGATGAATGATATTGACATGAATTAATAATATCCATGAAAATGAATGATCTACATGAGATGTTGGAAGCCCACTAGAAGTGCTTCCAAAAAAGTCTGCATATTAATATGGTATTTTGTACCATTTAAAAACCAACAGATTCAGGGAACTTGTATCTTAACTGTAGTTATCACCATATACCATCTCACCTCCTTGCCAAAGTTCCATATTCCGGAATCACTTCCTGTATTAGTATTGTGTCGCTTTTCTATCATAAATTGCATGACTTGGTGTTGGCCATGTTGCATGTTCTTTTGCTTTTTATTCAGTCTCCTTGGATCCATTTTCCCCATGCCTCGTGTAATCTATGCTATGGCATCGGACGGCTTGCTTTTCAAGTGTCTAGCTCAAATCAACCCCAAAACGAAGACTCCACTTGTTGCAACTTTATCATCAGGGGCTGTCGCAGGTGAGATCCTAAATGAATGTATTGTAAGGCAATGGATGCCTTCAGCCACAGACAATCTTCAGAGTGATACGTGGAAAGTTATCACTGTATTCTATTACAATTCAAGGTCTAAATTGTGATTCTCTGAGTAAAAATTGTCGGTTGGAAAAGTAGGGTACAGATGCATTTGACATAGAAAATGCACCCATTTCTATCTATGTCTATATGTTGGGTTAGTTTTGGCATGTACTGTTGTTACTGCAGCACTTGAACAATTACATTTTTTGTTCTAGTCTTCTGGGCTCTATGTTCCCTTTGCCTCGCATTATGTTTGCCATGGCACGAGATGGTTTACTCTTTAGATTTCTTGCCAAAGTGAGCAAGAGGCAGTCTCCAGTTGCTGCCACATTGACAGCAGGGCTCATATCCGGTAAGCTTTATATATTGATGGTTCTTAACTGAGGCCTGTTTTCCCATGCATGGCTCTGTGATATGATGGGCCTTGCTTGCTAACGATTCATGCATGTAAATTGGGAACAGAGTGCTGACTAATCAGAAGACGTATTTCATTTCGATTATGATTATGGTGGTGGTGGAAGAATGAGTTCCTTAGAATTCTTCTCCAAAGCTTTCCTTCAGTGTGAACAATGATATTGCCTGGTACGTGTGCAAAATAAAGAGTAAGTTGGTTAGCTTGATAGTTTACTGTTTTTTTCAATGTTCCCATTGTGCTTTTTGTACAATTTCCATATACACTTTTCTACAACCAATCTCTGCATCTCCTCTTAAACGATGCTCAGCAGCATATTTTGCCAAAGTAAAGTGGCATGAAAGCTGTGCCTGATCCCCTCTCCATCTGGCACAGGTGTCTCTATTTTAAACAGTGTTAAGTTTTTACATGTTGAATTTTTCATAGAAATTGCCAGTTCAGATTATTTAGCCAGCTGAAAAAATGCTGGTTATTTTTGCTCCCATAATATGTATGATGTGTTCATTAGTAACAAAAAAAAGATCAGGAAGTAATAATATAATAGAACTACAAAAAAACATTTTCTTTATTTTACCAATTTGTGCATTCTCTAATTCCACTTGCAAATTGTTTTATATTTCTTCCCAATTTCCTTCTTTTGTCCCTTAGGGGTAATAGAGACTGTTTGAAGTGAGATTGATGGCTATAGTAATATCATGTTTCTTTTAATCAACAGAACAACAATAAATTTTATGAAAAGAAATCACTCCTTGAAAATCTAGTTCTTGTTTATAAACAAGTACTGTACCTGCAGAAGACAATGTGATTAATTTTCTTTTCTCTTAACAGTCTGTCTACCATGTCTTTAGTAAAACAATCCAATACAATTTATTTGTCTTAACACTGCTTAAAAAGAGTTTTTATGGATGCCTGGGAATTCAAAAATTATTTGCATGAGCTTTCTGCAAGAAACAGAAGATTAACCATGACCATAATTATCAGAATACTTCATATCTTTCTGTACCCTATCAAAATAAATACAGTTTGATCCAAAATATTACTTAATTTGCTCAGTTGGATCAGTCACAATAAATTGCCTGAAACATCTGCATGCTTTTTAAAATTACTGTCACTTTCACAAAGTTGTTTGGGTTGTTTTTTGCATTGTCCATTTTAAAACCCAAACATTGCAAATGATTTGAGAATAATTTTAACTTAACAAAAGTTTCATGAATGAATTATTTATCGCAAACAGATTATAAAAGATTGCTATAATGAACAAACTTTAATGGTCATATAGCAATGATTTATCATATTCAAAATTTATATGATTATTATTTGTCAGAAACTACAAACAGTTTGCAAACTCTGTAAACAAATATTAAATGCTTAAACATATGATGCCAAGAAATATATATGCTTTGTCTAATATGTACTTAATGCAAATGCTGTTTTTCCCATTTTTCTAGCTCTAATGGCTTTTCTCTTTGACCTAAAAGCCTTAGTAGACATGATGTCTATTGGTACTCTTCTTGCATACTCATTGGTAGCTGCTTGTGTTCTCATACTTAGGTAAGTTCTGAAATTGAATTTATAAGCAATTTGCAAAGTAGTTTTTCTGTAAAATATTTTTTGTGTAAACAGTTTTGTTTCTGCTTCAATTATGGAAGACAGTATATTTAAATGATCTTGTGCATGAGATCATCATAAGATTTCAGGCCATGTGTGGTTCCTTTATTTCTGCAGATTTTAAAGTGAACAAAACTATGTTTTAGTGAAGATTCAACCCTGGGGAAGATCTGCATATTTAAGGCAATGGTTGTATTATCTAATTAGTGTGTCAGCAATCTAATGACACTGAGGTGGCATGCTGCCTCTCAAATCTGTAAGTGGCATCTCCTGGTAAAAAAAATAAATTCCACAAATTGTCCCAAAGCTTTATGTTCTTATGTGAGATTTCATATAACGATACCATTTCAAATCATCATATTAAAAAAAATAAATTACATTATTTTAAATGGGATTGTCCAGAATATTGCAGAGTGGTCCTTACTCCTTGAAAATTAGGGTGATGCCTAATCAGTTAATATACTGTAACTAAATCAGCATTGAGTAGCATGTATTCCAGAGCTAATTTTGTTTTTAGACTGATTTTACATTAGCAACCTGTGTCTGCACACATAGGTACCAACCCAGTTTAAACTATGAGCAACCAAAATATTCAGCAGAAAAAGAGGCCCTTGCAGGATCAGAAGGTGAATGTAAAAGTGAATCTCAAATTAGCATGATACCAACAAAGAGGTTTAATCTGCAAATGCTGACTAATCCATCAAGTTTACCAACTGAACAGTCTGCTACTGTGGTGAGCCTTCTTGTGGGTCTTTTGGGTAAGTCCAAACCTATTGGAGTGCTTCTAACTTCTTTGAAATTTTAGCTATATGCAAAATGCAGTTAAAAGACCAAATGCATTTATTTTGTAGTAAATTAGTCCTTCGATTCAAGTCCAAATAAGTGAAGAGTTGTGTGTTCTGCATATAAATCTATGGTTCTCCTTTTTTAAAGACATTAATCTTTACTTTTTGTATATATCACAAATGTTCAGATTTTTGAAATACTAAAATAGTCTGTCTTTTTTTCTGTTTTCTTTGATCATCTCCACTCAGCTGTCCTGGTTTGTGGATTAAGCATTCTGACAACCCATGGAATTCATTCACTTGCAAATTTGGAGCTTTGGAGTATTTTTCTTCTTGCGTCTTTTTTCATACTGTTCGGGATGATTATGTTTATCATCTGGAGACAACCTCAAAATCAACAGAAAGTGGCATTTATGGTAAAGGGTGTGATTGTAAATATCAAGTTTTCAGTTATTAGTAAGGAGGAGGAAGAGTGTGGCTAGTTCTGCTATATATTTTTTTTTGGGGGGGGGGAAGTTGCATGAAATCACCTGCAATTTTGGTGTGAAAATCAATACATAAATGTTAACAAATGTCATGACAATTTATTTTTGGCAACCTTGGATATTCTAGAAAAGAGCCAGAGGTGCATTTGAGCAACTAGAGATAAATCATTTTGGGCACAATCCTCCAGCAGATGGTCAAACAGCATGTTTCTAAGCACTTGGATAGGATGCTGCAATTAACAAAACCAATGATGATTTGTAGCAAAAAAAAAATCATGCCTGAGTAGATTTCTCTCCTTCTCTGAAAATGTTACTAGCTTTGTAGATCGGGCTAATTTGCAATAACGTACTTTGACCTCAGCAAATCCTTTGACAGATTCTCCTTAATAAAATAGTAAAAATATGGGATTGATGAATTTGGAGTTGGCTGAATGATGTTATCCAAAGAGGATTCATTCACTAATGGCTTCATGTCAGCTCAGAAGAACATCTCAACTGGAGTCCACAGAATTCTGTCCAGGATTCAGTGCTGTTCAATGTGTGAATCAAGGTCTTAGATGAGGAAATGAGAGGTTAAAGCTGGCACCAAGCTAATAATTTAGAGAAAGAAAATCCATAAAGATCTAGACAGGCTTAAGCAGTGGCCAGAAAGGGAATAGGATAAAATTTTACAGGGAGAAGGATAAAATCTGGCACTTAAACAGGAAGGTTGGTTTCAAGAAGTAAAGGCAGAACTCATACAGGGACTGTTTGGTTTATTGAAGTACATTACTTGAAATCTAAGATTTTCCAAAGTAGAGCTTCTAACTCAAAATACACATTATAGTATAAAATGTAAGTTGGTAATATTATGCACCATCCCAGATTGTTACTCTACCTAAACCAACTTTCTAAACATGTATGCTGCCAACTCATGATTTTTCTACCAAGAACCAAGGGTGGTATCTTTCTATGAACATAAAGCATTTCTGAAATCTCCATGTGAGCCTGAGTCCTGTAACATGTCTTTGATGCTACTGTGAAAGGTCTTCTGACATTCAGAAGTGATTTATGAATCCTGAACATCCCAGTTCCTATGAAGGGCCTTGTTCATTAGCATTTGTTCCATCCATGGGTGTTACCTTTGCTATTTCAAGTAAAATATTTAGGCAATTGTTTCACTCCTCTACTTGGAGTGTAATTTAGATTGGGATCATATGCAAGTTCTATGGAGAAGAACATGGTTCATCTCTACTTGTTGTGTTATATTGACATAGGTATGCTTCGATTCCATAGATTTTGAAACTAGCATTTCATTAAATTTTGCAAATGTTAATATAAAGTGTTAAAGCGTTGGCTCTGGTTATTCGCAAATACTGTGAAATATTTATTCTTAGGTTCCATTTTTGCCATTCTTGCCATCTTTAAGTATCTTAGTGAATATATACTTGATGGTACAGCTGAGTGGAGAGACATGGATCCGGTTCAGCATCTGGATGGCACTTGGTAGGTATTACCTTGCCCTTTTTCTTGTAAAGTGGCTTCTGGGTGTTTCCATGTGTATACCTATGCATAAATATTTGCCCAGATGTCTTGTTGGGAGAGGAAATTTTCTAGGACTGGTTTCAGCTGACACTGACAATCATTTGCAACAAGTTAAGGAAACCAGTTATGGCAGAAGATTTTTTCCCCCTAGTCAGCTCTTTCTTTTTTGATCTATTATGTGTGTGTGATAAATGTACACTTATTTTTCTTCTTCATGAATACAAAAATTCTCTACGTACAGTTAACAAATTTTGATAATAAAATGTTTTGTAACAGCTTTCTCTTAATATGTCATATAGTGAGACAGTAAGAATTACAATTCAACAGTACATGGGGACTCAACTATAAATATTAAAATAATATTTAGTTGTTGTCTTGATATATGTGGGAAAGAATCTGTATATAACACTTAGAGGTCAAAAATCAAATTGTAATCTTCAGTAGAGTTGTAGAAAGTTGACTGACATATGGCGAGTCTACAAAAAATATTGGTTGTTTTGTTTTGAAAGGACTCCTGATTTACTTTGCATATGGCATCCGGCATAGTAAGGAAAGCTGTCCCAAAGAGGAAGAGGAAGATGATGACAGCTGCTCAGAAAGAAGTGAAACCTTAGAAAAGAAGCATATGGGAGATACAAGTGAACTTGAACATGCAAGTGAAAGTGCTCAGTTTATTCCACATGAAAAGACAAGTGAATGTTAGTAGTCATTGATAAACCCGTTGTGTGCGCTTTTAGGCAGTGATGGCAGCAGAATAGAGTTGCTGGTGAAATGGTGAACTACTTGCTCCCCCCAAATTAACAGTAATCCACTTGTGCTTTACGGAAATATCTAGTAAAATACATGAGAGATGATCTAAATTAGTTGCTAGATATCTCTTCCATCAGAGATTTACCTCAGAGGATTACAATCTTTAAAAAACTGAGCAAGAAAGTGAAGCGAAACAAATTTTCCAAGGGGGCCAATCTGACTCATCTGTCACGTTAAATAAGTTGGTGATTTCCTTAACAGTATCCTACAACTTTAACTGGCATGTCCTATATAACTAATTCTTAAGGAGCATTTAAAGAAGAAGAGTTGAATATTATGGTTTATAATACTGGAGATGTATTCTTAACTGCTTTTAAAAATAGGGTAGCATTGCGAAATAATCACACAACTACTTGATTTCCATCACTCTCTGTATCTTTACATACCTTGTTTCTAACTCAGCCACCTTTTGTGGTATCTTCTGTATTGTTGCTCCACATTGCTCCTGTGAGTGAAAGGCTGAGGTTATCCTTAGCTGTACATTATATCAGAGGCAGCCTCAGATATATAAACTCAGTTATACTTTGTCATGCAGAGTGAGGTCAGCAGTCTTGACAGGATGAGGCTGGCAAGAATAATAGAAAATATAATACAATACAATATTGCACCGATTTAAGGATGAGTGGAGATGAGCTCAATTCAACAGTGGGGAAAGGCCCCAGATTCATAGAAATTGCTGGCGGGGGAATACACAGTTATCTGATCTAACTTCTGCTTTTTTGTTATCCACAAGCAGTATAAATCATGACAATTCTTTTTAAAAATATTTAAGAATATTTGAAATTGATATATTTGATAGAAAATCTAGTTTGAAATTCTGTTTATATCAGTTTTATTTCCAAACTCTTCATCCTTGCCAATGAAAATGAAAAACATGGATGAATAATTAATTTAAACAAATGATGAAGCACTAGCAAAATGGTACTTCTGTGGAACTGAAGTTTGCAAAATGCTGATGCATCTGTTGACTTCCTAAGTATATGAATGTCCTGAGCACATCAGCTCTGCCAGAAACTGGGCTGCAAAAATGTGCACCCATATATTAATTTGGTAGATTATTCAATTAAATATGGGGGGGGGGTTCTCTGTTCAAAAATTGGCTGATTTAAGGATGGTGAGTAGAGTAAGTGTTGAACTTGCATGTTTTTCTGTCCTGCTCCAGTTACAAAGGATTTGGAATGTTTCATTTAGGTCATTGGCTGCTGTTTGCACATTTCATCCCATTCTTAGCAGTTGGTGATTAATTTTAACTAATTTAAAATGTCAATTTCAAACTATGGTTTATAAAATAATTTAAATAATCCACAGTTAATAGGAACAAAAGTGAAACATGATGTTAAATTAGATATGAAGAACTGTCCTCTCCCATCACTTCAGGAGGACCAGGCAGTGCAAGTTTTGGACCTACTACCTCTTGTTCTCCTCACCATAAATCGTGGTTTTTCCACAATACCCAAACATAACCATTAAATTCTTCTTCCTGTCTAGGAAGCAAGTCTCTTCAAATTCTTTTGTTATCATATGTGATATAATATTTATTAAATTACTCATGAATAAATTTTTATTTTTGTGATGTTTATGAACATCACAAAACGGTTCGTGAACGGTTTATGAAATAGAGATACCATATGTGTGTATATATTGTATAGAGGAGAGGAAAATGACAAACAGCTCAAATGTTTTACAAAAACTAAAGTGTGATAGGTCTTTCTTAAACTTTGAGAGAATGTGCTGGTACCAATTGCTGGCTTTTGGATAAGATTGTGGGTTGATACTATATAAGATGCTTATATAGTTAGTTTCCAGCGTATATCATTTGGGATAAGTCAAGGCACTGAATCTACTTTAAGAAGCACCATGTGTAAGTGACAGCGTCCCAAAGAATTTTTTTTTTCTTGAGTCCAAGAGGGTTTATTTCCATCTTTCTGTTTGGCCATGTAATGATTCTTTTTTAATTTTCAGGTTCATTTTCCTTAAACAACCAATAAAATGCTAACAAAGGTAATGAATAATTTAAAAACCCAAATCTAATTATGTGTTGCTTTAATATACTGTACCTACACTTGCACTATTTTTTCCTACTTCAGCCTGCTTATTTATGTATAACTTGTGAAACTAACATGTCATTGCAGTTTTTAGTATGAATAGCAGATGTGGGAGCACGATTTTTTTTTAATGTAAGCATACAAAGTTCATTTAGCTTTCTATGCTCAAGTTTATATAATTGGATACAAAACATTTACAAAAAGACATGCAATGGGAAGGCACTTTGAAGAAACAACTGTGCTGTCATCATTTGGTCATCTCAGATATACATGTGAATATTGAAATTCTATCTGCAAAAGAACTATACATGTGTTATTATTTATAAAACAGGCAAACATACATGGGGTTTTTATTTAAATGAAATGTAGGGAAATAACTTTCTGAAGGAAAATTGATAAAATAGAGAACTAGATTTTAAATTTTTAGGAACTATCTCTGGAAAAACAAACAACCTTGTGACTGAAATTTTATGAAACATATAATCATTATTTAGAGTATACAGAATAGTTCTCCTCAACTAATTTCCAAACTGTTATAAAAATAGATGGATGATCGTTTAGTATGGGAAATGAAAGAATAACTAAGAAGTTCTTTTTAAATATACAGTAGCTTTTCAAAGTAGTTACCTAAAGTTATTTTAGACTGTTTTAAAAATATCTTTTCATAACAAATGTCTTTAGCTTGTTTAATTTTAATAGAATATGTTGTAGATTATTTATATAAGCTGTGAGACAGAACAAAATTTACAGAAATCTTCAAATAGAATGTTCAAAATTTACATATTTTGTACTGAGCCCAAAAATGATAATGAAAGTGCTTCTTCTTAGACAAAATCCTTCTAAATGAGAAAAGGAATCTTTCTAATCAAATTTGTATATTTATATTTTAATATTTTTCTGCAAAAGACCACATTGAAATTAAGCATAGTGCTTTAGAAGTAAAGAATTATTATCAAATTCTAGATAATTATTAGAATCTAGTTGGTTTTAGATATTCATCATTACTTTTCATGTGCCATTGTGTTTTTATCTTGGATATAAATGCCTCTCTTCCAAGCAAATGGAAAATGTTAACCCAAATTGAAAAATGCTAGGGAATGCCAGGACACTTGGCATTCAGACCTCAATGCACACATAAACCATATTTAGACACCATTCCGAGAAGCCCTTTAAAAAACATAGGAAGGAAACAAAAAGACACATTCTATTCATTTGGTAACATTCAGACAACCAGACAGAAAACAATGTCCTAATCAAGTAACTACCCAGAAAACTAAACTCTCACCAAAAGTCTCAGGGAAAGGTACTTTATATATAGACAACAAACCTCACTTGCTCTAGTGATGTTACCTATTTGTGTAATAAATATGTTTGCAAGCAAATGGCCAAGCTCAGAAAGCACCAAGAACTCCACAGAAAATGTTAAACCTAAGACTGACATATAATCATCTTAGATCAAAGCAGTCATACAGTTCTTGAGCTTCTTTTGATAGATTCGGGTTACTTTTGGATGGCTTTACCATTCACTCCAGTGGTAAAAGCTGGGTGATTCCAAGACAGAAAGATCTTTAGGCCATAGTTAAGTGCATTCATGAGTAATTGCTAAATGCACGTAGACTTAGTGTTACCTAGTAGCCAACAGACTTTACCAACAACGTCAACAGACTTTGTTACACTACCCTGAGAAAAAGCCCCATTAAAATTGAAGGTATTTACTCCTGAATCAACATGCAGTCCAGTAAATAGCTTTCATGTACTTAGGGCTGAGTTAGTCAATGGTAATAGTGTCACTTTTTTTAATAAATAAAAATCTACCGTAATGGTATTTTTCCTGTGGTCACTCTTAAAATACATAAGTCTAGTTGGATGTGATCCCTTGCAGTTAGATGTGATCACTTTCAGTACTTATTTTGAGGTAACTGTATTTCAGTGGTGGGTTCCGGATCCCGGTGCAACCGGGCCGGGCGTCCACCAAATGAATGCATGCAGCACAGGCACGCAGCGCACGCATGCGTACTTACTACCTGCGATGCTCCGCAAGGCTTCAGGTGCTTGGCGGAGCTTCATGCAGGTGCCATACACTGCGTGCGTGTAAGCCCCAAACAGCTCAAATATAGGTAAGGAGTGTGGAGGGCGGGTGGGCCCTCCAGAGCACTGTACCAGAACGGTACCTGGTGCTCCCAGCAGGCACTGGTACACCCATACTGGGGCGTACCGGTCGTATCCCACCACTGCTGTACTTACTTATTTTGAAATATGTAGGAGCACTATAAGGAAGCCTAAGTATCTGGCATCTGGGATAAATTTATAATGGTCTCAGTGTCCTGGGGTTATGTGGTCACCTTTTGCGACCTGACAAAGTAAAATCAATGAGAAAGCCAACTTCACATAACTGTGTCCTACCTTAACAACTTCAGTGTCTTGACTTAACAACTGTGGCAAGAAAGATAATAAAATAAGTCAAAACTCACTTAACTGCCTTGTTTAACAATGGAAATTTTGGGCTCCATTTTAGTCATAAGTCAAGGACTACTTATATTGTATTTGCTATATAGACTTGTGTTGGCTGAATCCTTATCCAGTTATAAGCCATTTATTCAGAAGGCCCAAACATTTTTAGAAAGATCTGAATTATATAACACCTTTTTGTATATTGTATATTAATTTTTAAATTTGTTCTCTAGAAATAGTATTGTATATATGTACTCCTATCAGTGGTGGGATTCAAGAATCTTTACTACCGGTTCTGTGGGGGTGGCTTGCTGGGTGTGGTGTGGCTTGGTGGGTGTGGCAGGGGAAGAATACTGTAAAATCTCCATTCCCTCCCCACTCCAAGGGAAGGTTACTGCAAAATTCCCATTTCCTCCTAATCAGCTGGAACTCGGAAAGCAGAGAATAGATGTGGGGGAGGGGGAGTCAGCCATGGTATTTACCAGTTCTCTGAACTACTCAAAATTCCCGCTCCAGAACTGGTCAGAACCTGCTGAATACCACCTCTGACTCCTATGTAGGAGGTTTTCAGTGTAGACATTTTACCATAAAGCAAAAGGTATTCAAATGTATTTTGGAGAAAAAATTACTATAATGGACTTTTTAAGTAATTTAATAATGGATTTTTTCTTTCTTTCTGTTCCTGTCAACCTCCCATAAAACTAAAACTTGAGTGGGAAATCTAGGAAACTAGAATAAATCTCATAACAGGTCACATGTCTAACATTTTATGCAAAATTAGCTGTATCACTGCCTATGTGTATATTAAGTAGATAGATGATTATATCATTATTACTGTGTATATGTTTGTTGTTTACTAAAGGGGAGAATCTTTTTGTAAAAGTCCATGACATTATGTAAACAACTAAAGGAAAAAAAATCCATCTTTATTACTGTATAATCACTTGCAACATGTGAAATAGTTTTTTAAAAAGGTAAATCGGTACTTTGGTCTTTTTCACTTTTAAAATGATAAGAAAATGTTCTTGTTGCTGCTTACTGTAAAATACTGCACTGCTTTGAAGAGGGTTGTGCATTTGTTCTCTATTTTTTAAAATAAAACTGAAAAAATGTGCATAAATGACTTTGTTGTCCTTATTTGTGTTTGGGGGGGGGAAGTTACACAGCAGCAATTGAGAGAAAAACATTATGTTCAAATAGTGTAAAAAAAAAAAGGTTGTACAATGTTCAATAAGTTCATGATTATCATTTTAAAATTTTGCTGCCCGGTAAATAAACAAGACTTATGGAAGCACATAGTTTCAAAGCTACTATTCTGTTACATTTATACTTCCATAATTAAAGGATTCCTGCAGTGTCATCCATCCATCCATCTTGGTTCCTATCTGAATTTTTTTGATATCAATTTTTATTGCTTTTAAAATAACAAATAGTGAAAAAGGGAAAAAACACAAAAATACACATACTGTCAAAAACATCTATGTGCTTCAAATTAAGTTTAAAAATATGATAAAAATCTATGTAGTTTATCGTTACAATAGAAAACTATTCTAGATATATTTATTTAAAGCAATTTCTTACAACAGTTCAATGTTGTGAGGAATTGGAAGGCTTGAAGCGCCGTCTCAACTTTCCCGGGTCATCTTTCTGGCTGCCGCCCTGCTTTTTCCTCGGTGCTCGCCACCCCCATGAAATTGGGGGCGCCCCTGGGATTCTTGCTGGGTCGGAGAGAGGCTCAGCCTGTCCTGGGAGGCCTGCCCAACAGTCAGGGGAGGGGGGAGGCTTGGGGGGCGGGAAAGGAAGGAGCTGCTCCCCCTCTCCGCTGTAGCCCAGACCCGGATCAGGCGGGGGCTCCGGCTGCATCCCTCGTGGCAGGCAGCGAAGAGGCTCCCCCCGCCACCTGCCATGAAGCCTTGGCTCTTGCTCAGCCTTCTGCTCCTGCAGCAAACGCTCCAGAGTGGTAAGTCCCGTGGAGCCCCACTCGCTCTCCTCCTCCGATCTGCAGCCCCGGCTCTTGCTTTCCTACGGGCGGCATTGCCTTAAATATATATGTATATCGCCCCCTTCTATGCCCACGTTTCAGATTTTTTTTAAAAAAATGAAATTGACGGGGGTGGGATGGGGGAGACGGCTATTTCTACCGTCCCAAGAGAGCAAAGGGCGCCCCGGGCTCTCTTGGCCTCAGACCCCCCCGAGGGGACCCCAAATCCTTTCGGAATTGCACGGGAGCGCCTATAAGTAATGGAGCCGGATGACTGCAACCTCCGCCCCATTAAAGAATTTAAGGACTTGGAAACTTTTCATTGATGTAGTTGAAAACAGACTGTGCAGTAATACCGTACTTCTCGCTTTAAAACTCTATGGATGGCTGTGTTCTGTATCGTTTTAAAGTCCCTCAATACAGCTGGAAAAGCCTGCAGCTTACAAATCAATTCCGAAAGGATTTGGGGTCCCCTCGGGGGGGTCTGAGGCCAAGAGAGCCCGGGGCGCCCTTTGCTCTCTTGGGACGGTAGAA